CTCAATCATTTACGTGAACTTAGAATTATTAATGCAGATCATGAAGATTTCATGGGCATCAAAGGGCCAAGTATTCTGCAAAATATGTTGCTAGGTTCTCTCATTCGTTCAACATCCATTGATGTAATGCATGCAGTTTTTCTTGGTTCTGTAAAAACTCTTATGAAGCTGTGGTTTGATGAAAACTGGAAGCAAGAAGTTTTCAGTATTTTTGAAATGAGAGCTGTTGTGAATCATTTGTTATCTTCCATTAAGCCACCCCATTGTATTCAGAGAGTCCCTCAAAGTTTGGATAAAATTAAGTTTTGGAAAGCCTCAGAATACATGGCTTTCTTTTTCTACTATAGTTTACCTATTTTAAATCTTGTTATGAAACAGTTACACTTCAATCACTTTAAATTACTTTTCTTTGGTGTAAATCTGTTGAGCAAGACTAGTGTAAGTGATGATGATATCAATATGTCGCAGTCTTTGTTAGACAAATTTGTTAAGCATTATGAAATTCATTATGGAAAAAGTAGAATGACATTTAACTTGCATATTATTCGACATTTGCCTAGTGTGGTTAAAGAGCTTGGCCCTCTTTGGACAACTTCCTGCTTTAGTTTTGAAAATATGAATGGAGTTCTGAAGTATTTAGTACATGGGACTCAGCATACCGGTTTGCAGGTGCAAAATTATTTTGGATTAATAACTCAGTTGCCAAATCTCCTCAATAATCTTCCACATGGTGCTCTTAAAGAATTTTGTGTAAAAATGACATCAGCAAATGCAAGACTTAGTGTGACTGAAAGGATTGGAAGTGGAAAATATATTATTGGTTCTCTGACAAAGAATGGTAACATATTCAATTTTAAAAAATTAAAGATTGGCAGTTATTTGTATGTATCTCAATCAGAAAAAAGTACAAAGAAAGACTCGTCATTTGTTTCTTACAGTTTCAACAATTCTGTATATCGTGGCATCATCCAGACATTTGAAAAAGTTCAAAACTGTAATTGTCACACTCAATGTAAGTGTCCAGGAGATGCCTTTGCTATTGTAAAACGTCTAGAATGTGTTTTGGCGTTTAGAACCCTCTTCCCCCAAATTGATATTGATACAACATTTACCTACACCATTACAAACACAATGGATAGAGTGGAAGTCCAGAACATTCTTGGTCTATGTGTCAATGTGGTTGTAGAAGATCAAAACTATGTAACTGATT